ATTGCCGTACTGGTCCCATTTTATGTTTGAAAATAAAAGCTAGATTGCCATTTCTTTTCAATGACCCTGTTTATCTTAAGAATGATTTTATTATTACATTTATTAGAGAAAAAAAGTGATTCGAGATCGTCGATCGTCGGCGCTCGGATCTTTTTGATGTGAGAGCGAATCGAATCCTCAGTGATTCGATTTGAATTCGAAGCGATGCGCACAAAATATTGTAAAATAAAATTATAAAATACAACGAACGTATTACGAGGGGGGAAGGGAAGAAAAGAAGTGAAAGAGATGAGTAGCCGGCATATTGATACAAGTAGACAGTAAGATATCTGAGCGGGCGTATTCTGGAATCCCGTGCGCGTAGGAGAATGTTCCGAGATAAAGAATAACTCACGTGAGGATGAAATCATCGTTCCACGTAATTATGCGAAATTACTTGTTTATCGATTCCCGGCCGCCCATCTCGCAACTCTCGGAGCGCGCGACCCCCTTTGGACGAGCCCGAGCGCCGGTTACTCAACGGCGTATAATTTTCTCCGACACCTTTCCGGAGGGGGGAGTTTCGTCGGCCATGTATGGAGAACAGGAAACGTCGCGACGGCTGCACCGGCGCGGAAAAAGGAGCGGAATGCACTCGGCTTGCTCTCGGAAGCACGTTCGTACGGCGGGAAAGGTGACACACGCCGGACTCGACGGTCTCGACGCGTTCCCCCCTCCCCTCCTCTCTCTCTCTCACTTGATTTTGTCGAATCGATTCGAAATGGAAAGCCCCGCGTCGTTATAAAACTCGAGATCAGTAGCGCGAAAAGTGTGAAAGGCAAAATCCGCCAAGTGGCGAACTGATGTATCGTTTAAGTAGACTTTAGTTCAACTACTTTCAACAATAAAGAAAGAAAAATATTTATGCATCGCCAAATGGCGAATTAATGTAACGCGCTAAGATAAACTTTAATTTAACTTCAGCATAACTACCTGCAATAAGATAATAGAAATATTTATATATTGCTGCCGTGAATATTTTAAGAAGATAAAAGGCCGGCGCGTTACATTCGTTGGAGCTAAACGGTCGCGTTTAGCTAAGCGGATGTTCATTAGCTACGGCGGCAGTGAAAAATAGACATCTGATAAAGTAGCGTGACAAAACTATCAGGGGTTCAATACAGGCAGACTGATTATCCTAAATGCCCGGCAAGAGGCCCATTAGCATAAATACTACTTTGCGAGCTAGCTTTCTACCCATAGCGTCAATATAGACATCAATCTCGCGATCTTTAGCTTTCCTCGCTCTAAACATTTCCATTAAAACCTAATCGCCGCGTGCCGGATTATAAAATTCGACTTAATTTAAACTCCGAAGTATTTAATGGAAACGATAAATTAAATCCTTGCGATAAATATGTATGCAGCCTCACGTATCAAATTACGTAGTAGAGTAAAATCCTAAATTATATTCCGCGTATGCCATACTTCGGATCAGTGTCGGATCTGCACATAAGCTAGATAAGCCGCAACTCGCGTTATAAGGGAACCTCCTCGACTCGGTATACAAAAGATTTTTAAGTGTACTTTTTATCAATAAAATTGGCGTTGAAATTAGAATAAAAAATGTTTCCGTTATTATGAATTACTTTTTACCAATTTTCATTTATGGCCGTCCCAGCTCTTACACCCAGAAAGGAAGTTTCTTTCGAGCGAACAAATTTTCCTTGAATTTTGACCCTACTAGACCCTTATTTAATTTCGAAGAAACGATTTCTCTACCTTAACCAAAATTCTATTTGATCGAGGCTGAAATTTCTAAGAGAACTCACATCTGTTTCTTCAAATCTAGCAGACGTTTTAGTACAAGTACAGAAAAATTTAGTAGATCCAAAGAAACATGATTTTAACGATAATCAAGCTTTTTGGTCGACATTAACCGACCAGTGTTTTAATACAGAAAATTTATTGCGACAAATATTACCTCCGCCAGGGTTTGAACATGGACCTCCCTTCTCTCTAGGCGTCCCACCAATTCAACCACCGAGGGCATGTGGTAATATTTATCGCAATAACAGTATAAAGATGATATCTTCGCGTCTATTTTTCGACTTTCAGTATTGTTATCTATTACTGGCAACTTAAAGAGACTTCTATGTATGATTTCAACGTATCTCATTTGTTTAACCTAATTATCTTTTTTTTCTGTGTGTACTGATTGGGGAAACATGAGGGGGGGGGGGCGGGGGGTTCTGAAAAATAAGAGCGACAAAATCGTGGGCCCAACTTCGGATGACTAATTTGGAGGAAATAGAAAAATTAATATATGCAAAACTGTATTGTGTCGCGGCGATTATCCCCGCGAGTTTGCCCGCTCCGAGCAATTGATTTACGCCGCTATCAGCCTTGGTACAAGAACGCGCGATAAAACTGACACATTGTCGCGATACAGAGCCCGCACTATTCAGCGCGGAAGCCCGCGATAGTGCCAGCCGCCTGAAATACGATATCGCGAATCCGCGCGCGAGAATACACGTGTGCATCCCCCGCGAAATTAATTTCGAGCAACGCGCGAGCGGGGGTCCGTGTCCTCCGGGCGTAAATCAACGTTCCCGGGCGGACCGAACGAATACGCAGAGTTCTCTCGCGAGAACGCATCGTCGGGAGTTGACAGATCGTTCGTCGCGCGATCGGATGGCGGATCGAAGATACAGGCCGGCGCAAAATGAACATGGGCGATAACGATCGAGATAGGAAGAAATCGAGAACGGCGCGTTGTCCGAGACGAAACGCGGCGGGGCACTAAAATGTACATTTCCGACGTTGTAAATTCACACGAGGGGAATTAACATTTGAAGATCGCTGAACAATACCGTATTCTCACATTTTTACCGTCGTATTCAAATTTTACGTCGTCCTTTTGTCACCAAGCTGCGCCAATTATTTCGTCCTGCAGTCGCGTTGCTCATTTACTCGAGCCCCCCCCCCTTTTTTTTTAACGCGCCTATACATTCTTATCGGTACGTGTTCCCGAGAGATGCGCGGAGAAACAATGCGCGAGAGACGAGGCGTCGAGAAACGTTACATCTGCGAGCGCGACGCATTGTCGTCAACGGGCCCGTCTGTCGCGGCACCGAATCATGCGAGAGCTATGCGGCAGTTGAAAACGCCCGAGATCCGCCCAAACAGTCCACTGAAGTTCGCTTCATCAAGACCGCAAAGCCGACTCAATTAACCTTATTACGGTTTAATCGCGAGCGCGCGATGGCCAGCGTCGATGCATCATCCGAAAATAACCCTCGATTGTTTATCGATTCGCCGTAGCGAGAACGAAAATCAGCATCGTCCCGAGGCGCCTCGCAGCGATGATTTCGTAGAAATCGCAAAGATCATCTAAAACCGGGACGGGAAAAACATTTTCAAATATCGGCGACTAATTTGTTTCTTTTTTTCCTTTTTTGCGATAAAAATGAGGCACGAGTTCTTGCTGCGTCTCGTTTCTCGCGCGTGCCCTCAAAATTACTGTTTTACCGACATTCTTTGTTAGAAGTAATCTTTTAATGGGCTTTATAGAAATGCAAAGCTCTTTTACGGAATTAAAGTGCGCGACAAAATCTAGACTATGTTGGTCGACTTTATATAACAAAAAACATTTTTATCAAGTTTTGGTACACTTGACGACAATATTTGCTCGATACAATTCTACAATAAATATATACAAAACGAGACCAGCATACTCTAGGGACAACATATAAGAGCAATATCGTGCAATTAGAACTGAGATTAATAGCCTAGAAAAAAAGATTACTTCTAACAAACGCAAGTCCAGAGATCCAAGTCTAGAAGAAGAGAAAACAGCAGCAGGCTTTTTCGAGAGAGAGGTCGCTGCCAAACATCTGTCAGACTGTCAGTAAAGCCATGGGCGTTGACGACGCTAGAATTCGATCCAAAATCTCGGTCTGAGCAATGTGTAGCTAATAAAATTGCTGCTTTTTCGCAAAAGTTGCAAACTGATCGGCGATAAATTTCTCGGACCGAGTAGAACCTGGATTTAATTCCGTCTCCTATCTTATCGACACTGATCGAGTTCGCCAGCGGCTTTAGGGTCCCCTTAACCGAGGCGAGAGAGACACGTTCAAAAGCCAGTCCTCCGTCATCTGGGTCGCGCGAAGACATTTGTTCAAACACGCTTACTCCTCGGCAAACACAATTCGCAGTTTTTTTTCCCTCCCCCTCTCCTTTTTTTCTCCTACTTTCCGAGAGAACGCGGCGCTTTTCCCCGCGTATTTCAATGCCCGCTTCATCTCTTATCGTCCACGTCGTCGCTTTTCTTGTCTAGAGCGACTTCGATCAATACCCCAGGCGGACACAATGAGCCTGACCGCCGGACAAACACGCGCGAATCGCGCGTACACGCCGTTCGTACGCGATACAACGAGAACGCCGATCGGAGTAGAGACGGGAAACGTAAATCATTCGCCAGTTTCTTTTCAGATAGAGGCGCACGTGACTACGTCTCGCGGAGAAAGATATAATCGGAGATGCAAGCGTTCAGTTCCATTAGCATAAATACAAACGCGTTGTCCTTACAAGAGTGAAAATAAAAATAAAAAAAAACCGCTTTGCGCGAATCAACAGGAGTAATTAATAGTTTTTTCCATTAATAAACATTACGGTCGACGCGTGCGGCGTTTCACAAAAGTAAAACGAGTTAACTTGTCGCGCGAAGTAAGAGCGATGTCCATTTCTACCGACGTTGATCAACTTCAATCCCAGTTTGACTTGTCCGTTATTTTTTTCTAGCTCCAAGAATTGGAGATAAAAAGTTAAAACGGCTAATTGGTGAATGATAAAAGGTAAGTTAAATGAAAATTAAGATTAATCTACGTTGGTAGAAATGGACACGAGTTGCCTTGCTATCGCGCGACGGCTCGCCGAGGCGAGAAGAAAAGCGAGGGGGATCGGAATACACGCTCGGGTTTCACAGGAGAGGAAAAATGGGGGAAGGGGATTTCGCTCACCAATACATCGTAGCAGATCTCGCGCAATTCCTTCTCGACCTTTTCCCGGTATTCCTTGGCCATCTGCTGTTTGCGTTCGGAGCCCTCGGTCTTCTGCTCGATGGAGGAGATTACCCGCCACGAGCTACGTCTCGCCCCTACGACATTCTTGTACGCCACCGAGAGCAGGTTCCTTTCCTCGTTCGACAGCTCGACTCCCGTCTCGGTGACCGCCTTCATCGCGGACGCCATGTCATCGTACCTTTCCGCCTGCTCGGCAAGCTTCGCACGCTGCACTAATTCCTCCTTATCCACGGACATTGTGTCGGCTGGAATCAGAAAAAGAGCGCGACGTTAGTGCCAGTCGAAGTTCAAGTTCCGATGTTTCGCTAAGGCTCTTTTCATGTTTCCGGTACGCGCGCATCAAAAGTTGAACAAGTGCACTCAGCAAAGTAAAGAGAAAGCCGAGCTACGAAATGAGAGAGGGACGAGGATTGCAAGTCCCCCAAAATTGTTCACGCCGCTGCGATTTCACGCCCGAGATTACTGTGTTGAACAATGTCGATATATGCTACGTATTAAAAAATAGAACGCAATGTTCCGATACGCGAAAATCTGTTTCTCACACTGAAAAAAAATCTGGTGGATTCAACCAAGTCGTCTGTTAGAAAATGGACGAATCAGAATTCCCTTTAGGATTTACCGGATTTGTAGTCAAGTCTACCAAACTTCTGGTTATGAAATATCTTTCATGGTAAATCCTAAAGGAATTCTGATTCGTCCATTTTCTAACAGACGACCGGTTGAATCTACCACTTCTTTTTTCAGTGCAGAAATGCAGCTTGCGTCTGCGTTTTGGAAATGATTTCGAAAAGGACCGTCGAACGCGAAAACTCGTAGGTCCGAGAGTTTCGCTCGCTCGCTCCACGCGCATTTTCCAAAATACAAAACGATATCCGACCTCGACGGGGATCTACGGGGCGCGGGATTACACGGAGGGATAAGGGGGAGGAAAACTTGCTGCGCGGTGTTGAGCAGGTCAGAGCGACCAGAGAGATCGAATGGAGAACGCACGTCAGAGATACGGCAGAGCGGGTGGCTGCAGCGCGCGGTGCACAAAGCGTGACAGACCGCGTTTCAATGTCGCCGGGTTTTCCTTTGTCGCGTCGTCCCCGGAGAGGTCGGGAAGAATAGGTCTCGCGCACACCGACGTGCTTAGAAACCAACCACCACCACCGCGTCGACGACGACGACGACGACGGCGCTGCGTATCCACTCACGAAACGCGACTGGCCTCGTTCGCCTCGGCGAACGATCGACGCACGTCCGTTCCGGAGGCAGGACGACCTTTTCCCTTTCCGAGTCACGTGCGCGCGTCCGCCGTCCGAGAGACGCTCGCCAGAAAACCACGCGCGGAGCAAGAGCGATCTGCTGCGAACGAAGCGAGGTCTCCTCTCGCCCCGCTTCGAGATTCTTAGTGGATTGCAAGTTAAACCATCGAGTTCTGTCTATCGAATTTGCGTAAGGTCTCTAGGGCAGGAGCTCGGCGCCTTTGTTTTCCTCTTGAAAGGAAAGGGAACGTGCCCGGTGCGCGCAGCGACGCACTTTTCGAGCCGACCAGCTGCCAGCCTCGGTCTTGCTCGACGGAGACGTTCAGGTAGAATACTCCCTGACGCGAGAAAAATAGATCCTAGACCTTCAAAGCGAGGAGATACCGAGAGACGGAATTCTTGTTGAAATTTCTTTTCCATCGCGAAACATGACGTTATCCCATGGTTTCCTTCTTATTTTAGAATTAGTATCCCACCGTTGCTATACAATTACAGCGCAGCCTGCAACGCAATTATAGCGCGGCTATAGAATTATCGTATTATCGTAATTAATTTTGCATTCTTAACGTCGCGAGGGAAAAAACGGCCGAGGCGCTTCGAAAAAAAAAGAAAAGAAAAGGAAAACGTGCGTCTATCGAAGATACCGATCGAAGCGTTTTCTTCAATTGACTCCAACGAGCATTTAATCGCCGAGAAATGACATACGTGGCTCTCAATAAACGTCCGCGGTAAGAAGACTTGTACGTTATGAGAATGCACGCCCCCATCACGCGCGTTCGTCGTGGGGCACCGCATTTCCATGGAAACCCGTGCGAAGGCGTCTATTTCCGACACGAAAACGAGATTTACCGTGAGGCGGAGGATCACGTAGCCCTTTGACGTCGATCGATGCACGCGAAAGCGCGTTACGCAAGACCCGTGGCTCGCGGCTCTCAATATCGATAATATCAAGTGACGCTAATGAGGACTCGATGCGCAACCGATATTTTAGGAATCGCTAAACAACGACGGGATCGCGGACACGGCCACGATTATCCGATCTCCATTTTACTTGAAACACGCGCTTCATCTGCAACTGTCAACAAATTTTCTCCTCGTTCCTTCAGACGACGCAACAAGCTCCACTCCAATCTTCATTTCTCCCTGTCTCCCTTTTTTTATTAAGCCTCCGTCCAAGAGGCCGAATTAATCAATGATACTCGTTCATTAACACATAATTAATTTCGCGCAGATTTTTATCACGAACAACGAACGACGCCCCGGTGTTACGATCCGTTTCATTCCACAACTCCGTCTCTTATCTCTAATCTGTCGTTTTATCTACTATCGGACAGAATATCACCGGACGCCTAATAAATCGACGAACGTGACCGCACGAGATTATCCGGCTTACGCAACGGTCGCCCAAGCCGTACACTTATTTGTCATTCTTTCCATGTTTTCTAAAGCCCGAGAACAAATAAACGCGATAATGGTCGATAGATAAAATGGTTTTATCGAAGAAACGAAATTCCACAGCTATTACGTATTTTCCACTAGGCGAACACTCTAAATCTTTACAAGGCAGGCGCGTGGATGGCAATTATCGTTCTCCTTTTGTTCCTCTTTTTTTTTAGTCTGGCCGGCATCTGCCGCTCGGACGCGATAAATCACCGGCGACTCGGTCAGAGGGCTAATATCTCGTCGACGGATTGCACGTGCGTGCGAGTCCGCGGGCCGATAAGAGAATTGGCCGTTCGCTCGATAAAAACGAACGAATAAACGAGCGAGCACGTTCGATGTGCCGGGGAGAGAGCGGTCGATTGTGTCGTCATCGAATCACGCGAGCACAAGTGCGTCAATAATGAGCCATTACCGAGAAAAGCGCGAATCACACCCGTCATCGAGAGCTATTGAAAAATCCGTGATTTACGAGATAAATTCACCTTTGGCCGTTCTTAGTTGCTTTTTTTTCCTCCAGAAATGCATCGCGAGATGAAAAACAATTCGCATGGATGCGCAAATACCATTTACAGGAATTTTGTAGAATTTAAGCTCAGGCTCTTGAAAAATTGAATCTCCACGAGTTCGCACAAAGTACTTTGGTTTCGCGTCCGATCAGATTAAATTCGCGAAACTCGAATTCAGTTTCGAAAAGATCAATAAAGTCCGTAAGATAAAAATCGAGAGCTTCGTGCGTTGTCGAAACAGTTGAGCTCGAGGTTTGCTCGGTTACACGTTTGTGTAAGAGTAACGGGATGTCGTAATACCCCCGTTGCACCGGAATGTCGTGTCGTCGCCGTCGTAGTACGCGCGAGAGGAAACGACGGTGATTCATGTGGTAGAATTGAAAGAACGAATTACGTCTCTCGGGACGCGAGCCTAGACGCATTCATGAACTATATCAAGCGGCACGTAACGCGCCGTAAGAAAATCGGACAGGGTTATAATTTTCACATCGACGTAACGCGCGACCTTGCGTAAACCGCTGTTACGCAAATTCCCTCCAATTTGTTAACCCGCGAGAATTATTCGCATTTTAAAACCGCGCGTGTCCAGCGGCACGAGTTTAATCGGCCGACGTTTCCTCTCGGAAACAGGAAAAAATAGTATTCGACGCAACTGGGTTTCAATTTTAATTAGAAGAGAGTTTTGTTGCGAAAAATATTAGGTAAACTCGGGTATTATGGCCGTACGGGAAAGATAGCCACGAGCTGTAATTTCTCCAATAACTGCTAAATAACGTATTTTCATAGTTATTCTGAAAGATAATCAATATTTACAATAGTTTATGCGCATACACCATTCGAAATAACAATATTGTGAATACCGTATCACATTTTTACTTTCGACTGCAAAGCTTTTCACGTGTCCACTAACAGCTGCTATAGGCGTTAAATAAATTGCAGCTAAGCTGTCGAAATCAACGTTACACACGTAATAAAGGTTTGTGAATTGTAAATTTGACCTATAATTTGTATTTCCATTTTCGCTACTTATTTATAATACCATAACCATCTTTCTCTCGCAATTTGGATAAGACGGGCCGCGCACTCTGTTCAGTCACGGAATATTAGCTGCAATTCTTTCCAAGTTTTATCATTGTATTAATGAAACCATCGTTGAATTGTCGTTAGTGTAGATACCAATCAGACTCGTGGACTTTGCATTGCAATATCTCTACTCATGGGGCACGCAGGAAAAAAGTAAAAATACTTTTATTATGCAAATCGTACCCAAGCTATCGATTAAGCGCAGTCTCAAGTTCGTGGGATCAGCCGTTGTTGAGATCCAAAAATCTGAGGGCCCGTCAAGTCGTGTACTCGCGTAAACTTACACGGTCGGTCTCGCGCGCGCGGTACTAGCTGCGCTTACACTTGGCGCGAGACACTACCGTGTCTCGTGATATTTATTTCGAAAATCCCCATCATGGGGAGAGTTTGCCCTCGACGGGCACAACTCTCCGCCTGTAGCCGAATTCTTGGTCTAAAACGCGTAAATACCCTCTCTTTATTATTTGCAATATATTAGATGTATCTTTTACATATAATACCGTACGTCCACTGTCCCATAATACTGTGGCCATCTTTTCCATACAAGTCGGGTAAGATGGCCAGTGCATACGTTGCAATACTTTGCTAATAGAAAACTTATGAAGCGGTACACCAAGCGCAATTAAAAACTAACAAAAATGTATGTTTTGCGCATTACAACAAATTATGGCCATCACACCGGAGTTTGCCCTCTCTCAGCCAGGGTAGCGATAAAAATTTCTTCTAATTAAAATTATAGCCAGATGAATCGAATAATATCGCCTCTTATTTCATTGCTGGCAAAGAAAATGATTATTACTCGTGTTCCTTCGAAAATCTTTCGTCCAAAGGTACAATTCTAAGGGAGTTGCGTAATAAGTTCGCCATAAATATTTCCACCGAGCGCTTTCGGTTAAGGATAAGGCTAGGGCAGGGAGAAGGGACTTTGCGAAAAATTGAGAGCCCCTCTCTCGCTAAATTGACTTC